CTAAAATGCAATAAAAATCTCAATTTTGTTAAAAAATTCCCGGAACCTGATTTTCCTAGCAATCAACCCATATGTCATTAATAGCCTCCTGATCAATTTTCAGCCTGTATTCGTCCGCAAATTGTTTGTATAAGGATTGTACTTGTTCCAAAGTGAAGTTTTGGTTCCGAAAAGGATCATTAATGTCAAAAGGTGACAGTTAAATTATTAGTATCCAGACGCAGGATGCTGAAGGGAACAGTGACGACTATAGACCAGATAGCAAATTTTTCCCTTGTTGGCTTAATATTACGAAGAGTTTCCAAACACGAGAACTTTACATCATCATTCGCCTTATAAAGTCTATCAAATTCGTCGATAATGAGAACAACCTGATAATCCCACTTATTTTTCTGAAATGAAACGCTGAAATCACTGGCAGAATTGATATCGAGTTCGTTGTATTCGGAAGCATCAAGGCAAAGATGAGCGTCGAAGATCTGCCAGAATTCACTCACGCTTTCCATATCGACTTAATCAAAACATACACTATTAGGAAGGGATGAGTAATTATAGAAACAGTTATATTTCATGCAACATGATCGGTTAAGTTTGAGCGAGAATCATAACTCACTATATACAAATAAAGCCTTCGTTTTGGTTTTAAACTTCGAGACTCGTGTAAAGGATCGTGACGAATTCTACACAACGAATCAAGGAATGTAACGTTCCGCTCCTTTGGATCAACAAAATATTCCATTGAACGTTCATTTCGCGTAATGGCATCATCTATCATCCATTTCCTTCGCCTTCCTTCGTCTTGCTGCAATTCAACTCAACTTCTACCTTTATACATTTCAAATTCTATTCTACTTCTATATTTCATCTTCAACATATTTCTTACTCCTACATTTAGACAAAAAAATAGAAATTTATTGATGCCTCCCTAGAAAAGGTGTTATTGATCAAAGGCGATTTACTTGGAGGCAATAGAAACGAACATAAACTGTATTTCTAGCGTTAGGAGGAAGAATGTTAGAATGTTTCGAGCTGCATTTCTTATTTTCAAGACGCACAATTGCTGCAATATTATACTAATGACGAAATTTTTTTTGTTATGTTCATCATTTAAAAACTGAGAACAATGCTTCAAGGTTTTTTTTATGAAAGTCGAGAGACGTGTTTTTAATTTACTTGTGACAATGGTATTGTAAATAAAGCAAGATTTTAAGTATCATTTGTCTCAAATTTTATTCAAAATATCGAAGCGTTGCCAGTAAAATCATATTACAGAATACTTTATATAATAAACTTACTGGCAACCTTCCCATATTATCTACATAATAATTAATACATTGATGTCCAATTTGTGAAATAATAAATGAATTAATTCATCATCTACTTCCATAACATCGTGCTGTGCCAAAAAGAGGTTTACGGGGTTTTACAGATTTAGCAAACTATTCTACATCTTTGGCTTTCTTCCACAACTATTTTAAATTGTTGCAACACGTTCAATCACTTGAATCTCTGGTGCTTCCAAAGTTTTAGAACTTCTTAACTTTGACGGTTGGCCCTTTATTATTGTAATACCTGGAATCGAGCAGAAGTCGTTAGAAAAATGAAATGTAAGAAACAATCAAAGAAATATTCATAATGGAACGCACCAATTCTTCAAAATTAGTAACATGATTTGTATGATTGTTGGAATCCCACCAACATGCAATCATACTGATTTACGCTACAAATTATCATTGTATTTTCATTTTCATTGCATTTGAGATGAATTGTAGCCAAGGTCGTACCAAAACTGTACGACGTGACAGTGCTATATCAACCGGCTAGCAAGTGTACTCAGTTACATTATCTTCGTTTTAAAATGGATAACTATGTTTCACCTGGCGGGAGCAATTTCGCGTAAGAGTCCGTCCAAATGTTCATCGAGCTCGTTCCATCTTGCTGTTGCAAATATCTCGAGATCAACCGTTGGATTTTTGGACGAACTGATAAAATATCGCTAAATTTATGCTGATTTCGACCGTTAAAAGCTGATCCAATTCGACAATATTCGATATTTCTGCATCATATTCGAGACTTTCAGATTTTTAACATTTTTTATGTTCACATGGGCTTCCTTAAATGAACGAAAGGATACCAATTCATGGTTTCTTTATCGAAAATTCGACAGCCTTTTTCAAGACCTTAAGGATAGCATTCTGTCGTAAATTTGACAAATGATACTTGTCAGCTACTTGGGATCCAACGTCAAAAATGCCATCCTAGCTGCTTGATCCTTGACAAAGATTCGAGATGAATCTTAATTTTTTAGCATGGCATGTACATATGATCTCCTCCT